GACGCGGTCTTGAAATAAAAACCGGCCACGAATACCGGCCTGGACTTCGGACCGTGATTATTTCTTGATCCAAGATCAAGAGAGACACAAGCGCACCACGTGTGTCTGTCACGCCGGCCGGGAAAAACGTCTCTCCGCAAAAATGTCGCTCACGTGAAAGAAACTTCTCACGCGCGTGTTCTATTCTCATTCTTATGTCCGTCAGCGTGCTATTCTCGTGTTGCAAGCACAAAATTACGAGACGAGCAATCGTCAGTAATCGTTCTCGGAGTAAGAGATTTAAGAAAGAGAAAAAATAACACATGCCAGTGCTTCACGTTTGAAAGTGAAGACTACCTGAAGAACTTGGCAGTGGAGAGAGAACTCTTCGGGAATGTTCTTTAAGCGAAACACGTGCTTCGCTGTAAATCCATGTAATTCCCGTTTCTCATTTTGTTTTTAATCATACCTCTTTCTGGATTGTTTATTTCACTTTATTTTATTGCAACTCGATTAATACCAGTTTCTTCTGACTTTGTAAACTTCGAGATTTCACCCGGAAGAACGATTCTTAATTATAACGTAAAACGCTTCTTTCCGTATGTCTAGTAATGCTAGATTCCGATAATTGTAAGATACGTGAATACGAAATAATAAAGCCGGAAGTTTTCATGTAAAAATCAACGAATCAATCGAAATGTGAAACAATAAGAATCTCAGCAAGATTTCCCTTTCTATCAGTATAAATTAATTTCGATTAACTTTGTCTATTTCTTCTAATTTTTACAGAACTGGAAAAACATAAAAAAATAAAATCAAAATTAAAGTTAAACTATACCGATGGAAACAAGCATTAGTTCAGGTACATAAGCAAGTTTAAAATAAACTGAGGTAAATATGTAAAGTAGACCAAGGATAAGTACGTGGTATCGTTGTCGAGTTTTCCATGACTCTCAATAATCCATTTTATAACAAAATATTTCAAAAATTGTTTGATCAAAGCTCTCTGTATACAACGTATTAGGTATTTTTTAATAGCTGAACCATACACTTTTAGAACTGAAAGTGAAATAGATTTTCGATATTTGACTGCGGTGAGAAAAAAAAAGGTTTCAGTGTAGGAAGAAATAACAGAGTACAAAAAATGTGCAAATTCTAAGAAAAAAAAAAATCAATGGGAGAACACTTTGCATCACTTGCTTACTTTTGTGAACTCATTCTCGCTCCCGATTTCCCGATCAGCGAAATTCATTGGCAAAGTCCACAGAACGGGGAATCAATTCGCGCTTAATCTACTCCAGCTCGGAATTTGCATGCGCGGAAGGAGGGGACGGGAGGCGGGGAGGGGGATAATAAACGCGATTGTACCCCCGTTACGTACCTCCGGTTAGCACTAACTTGTACACGCGTTTCTGATCCATCGCCGAGCGGTTCGACTTCCGTTTCCGATCGGAATCGCTCCTTCTTCTCTGGCCCTCTCTCACACCTTCTCACCCTCGCTGCTCGACGACGACAACGACGTGCCTTCCTCGGAGATGCCGGGGTGGTTGTTTCCTCCGCTCCGACGTGACGGGGGGACGCCAAGGGTGGCGGGTGTACGACGCTCGAAAGCGGCGGTGGTCGGTACTACATAAATACCTGGTAGCGCATCTCGGATCGGCGCGTGCTCGACCGCGTGCTCGGACGACGCATGGAAAAGAAACGGGAAACGACGACGGGGACTGACGTACGAGAGTGCCCTCGGCGCGAGCTTATTCGGCGATCAACCGATTCGCGAGCCTCCTCTCACCGCGGCTACCTGGCTCTTTTCACGGAGAAAGAACGGGGGAATAAACGCCGCGAGTCTCACGCGATCACGACTCGGCGCAGCAAACGCACGCACGTCCGTTCCGTTCTACAGCTTGGAAGCATCTGAAGTGAGTTGCGCAGCTGTTGAGTCCGGTCGCGAATCGCGCGAAGTCACGCGCGCTCCACCGGAACCGGAAGGCGCCGACGACCACCACCACAAGCGGAACGACGACGGACTTCCGCGCCAAATTCAAGCGTGTTCTTCTACACTTTTCGCGCCCGTTCACGTCTTGCGATGGCTGTGTTTCAAAATTTACTACCACTACTCGAAGTCTATAATGCATGTAACGTAAACTACAGATTTTTAATATTAACAGTAAATTTTGAAACACAGCCATTTTTGGCGTAATCGAAGTCTTAATACTTTGCTCCTTGTGTTTTTGCCACTTATTTACATTTACGAAGTTAGATATTAATAAAATGAATCTTTTCTTACATTTAACAAGCAATATTAATTTACATTCTTATTTTTGCAAAATGAATTCTTTTGTTAAACAATACATCGAACATAATTTATGTAAACCAAGTTCGATAAACGTATAAAAACCGCGTTGAAAGATTGGAGATAATTAGATAGAAATAATTAAAAAAATAAATAACAAAATTATCGGATAATAATTGGATTAATAAAAACTATTAGTTGTGAAAATTAAAAAAAAACATTTCTCTTAATAATTACAATACTTGCGGATGTCAACGATAAACACGCGTTCGATTTTGGAACGTATTTTTCGAAGATAATTTTTGAAAATATTAAACGAAATTCACGCGATATAAATATAAATAGTATACCGGCCATCGCAAATTTAATCCAATATCAATATTGTTGAAGTGTGTAAAAATTTTTTCCATAACATTCTCGATAAAATTTTATTGTAGTACAATCTGCACAGATGCCAAATAAAAAGTATTATTTAACATACCAAATTTTTATATTTATTCGACGATGTTTTTTCGAAATCTATATCTATATTTCTGAAATCTATTTTATATATTGAAATATACTTTGATTCGTGAAAATCGACAAATTAAATTAAGATGCTATTTAATTTAGCATTAATTACCTTCATGCTTTCTTGTAATACGAGCTAAAATTGTACTCACCAAAATTATGTTCGATTTCGCGTCTAGAGAACAGAAACACCTCTTTTGCACAACAATTTTCTCTCGCGAGATTGTAGAAGATGGATGTTGCTCTTTTATATATTTCACCACATTCCCATATCGCTGTTTGTTCAATTACTTTGGAAAATATCTGGATGGAGAAAAAAAACGAACACCTCTTTATCGCCCTCGTTGGCACAGTCGTAATAAAAATAATGTCCTTGGTATAGATAACACGCTCTGCTAAATTTTCCATATTTTATCCTTCTTTTGAGAAACACGAGAACACGAAGTAGATCTACGTAAAATCTCTTTACATTTTTCCAACTTTCGATTTGCTAAAAACAGCATTACGTTTGAATTAATATTTTTTTGGTAATTCTTATATATCTCTACTATATATAATTTTTAAATGTTATATATGTATTCAATATGTGTGTGTATTGCTCTAAAATTTTTATTTTTTATTTGATTTTCTTAAATAATGGGATAATAATAGAATACAATCGACGAGAATAAAGTTACATCGATTTTGTTTTAGAAAAAAAGGCTTTTATTCTGATCAAATGCTAGTAATTTGAAAACTTGAAGAATAGATACAGACACTGGAGAGTCCTAAATAATTTTTTTCGTGTCTAATTTGATCGTTGTTACTTATGTGATTTCTTCAAATCTCTTGACAATACTTTTTTTTACAGTTTCTATTATAATATGGATTTGTGAAACGAAATCGCTTAAATCAGTACAATCAATTCTTCCGTATTTCTCTCTTCTCCAATTTTGTATTTACAATCCTTTTCTATTAATAGATATTAGTTAATGTACAGCTAATGCCTTAAGTAAATAGCGTTGAGGATCGGATCTATTGCGTAATCGCGATGCGTCATGTACTGCTCAAAATGATTTAGAAAACCATGAAATTTAATTCTATATTCGATCTGAAGTTCAATCTGAAGTTACATCGGTGGCAATATCTTAATAGACAATACATACATTCAATCACATATATTCAAAAAGACTTGTAAAGACAAATGTGATACAAAGAAAAAATAAATTGACGCCATTAAAAAAATATATATAAGTTTAAAATATGAAATTAATATCCCGGATTTTCATAGGAAAAATAAGACGATAAGAGAGTTAAATCGTTATAAAAATACATATAGCATACAGTAAAAAATATTTATGTTAGAATTTTGCTCAAAATATGTTTCTTTTTAACGTAAAATATACGTACGAAGGAAAAGAATAATGAAAATTATTTGTACTACGGTTAAGGAGTACCTTGAGATTTTTGATTCATCGAACGAGCAGTTTAGCGAGCATCGCTTTAATTAATAGGCACTGCGGACAAATATACGTTCAACAACCTTTTTGAGACAAAACACACAATTAGTAATACTCTATAAGTCTATTCTTTTCAAATGAATTTGTTACACCATTAATCTCTCTTCTTTTTCTTTTCAACTAGTTAAAGAGAAAAAGAGGAAATTTAAACCATGTAAAAAGTTTCACTGAAAAGAACAAACCTATGCATTTTTTAATATTATTTGCACTTATCATATTTAAATATTCAGAAAAATCTCATCGCCACGCAGTGAATCGTCGATAACCTCTAATTCTAACATTCTTAAAGAAACAGATATAAGTACACATAATACTATATATCATATACATCATTAGAATAAAGGCAGAATGAATATACTGTACATAACATTAAATATATGAATAATGAATTACATCCTTAAATTTAGATAACTCTTTATATATTATTCTTTTTAATTATTCTTATTATATTTGTACAATGTTTTAGATAGAGATGCGTCAATTGCTGTTATATTTTTAGGAACATACCATACATATTTAATAATTTAAACTTAAATGTCAGATTGAATCGTAAATACAATTCTGTAATGTAAAAGGGCAAGTAAGAGTCAGATAAATAAACAGATAACGCTTTAGCACATATATTCAAATAAATGTACTGAGAGACAATAATAAAATTATTAAATTTACTATAGCGCAAATCGACAAAAATTTACATGTTTCGGTTGTATGATTCAGCCCTGTTCAAATGTACAACTAAAATTATATACATAAATCTATCTTATTACATTAAAAACGCAATGCGATATAAAGATAAGAATCGCTATGTTATAGGAAAATTACGATGGACATTCTGGATAGAATAAAACCGACATTGCTCACCAAACGATTGATTAACCGATTGAAATTGTGTTTCACCATGTTCTAATGAGAACATTTTTTTAAGTAATGAAAAAGTATGTAAAGCATTCCATAAACGCGTCTAGCCATTAAAAACTCACCAAAATGTTCAAAACATGTCAGTGGTGAATCGATCGTCAAAGGGTCACATCTTGCAACGAAGTCAGAAGAATCGTCAAAAGAATAAGAGATGGTTACATAATTGCACAATGTTAAAAAATTAAAAATTAAGAAACTCGAGAGATTACTATTACAAGAATAGACACTTCTAACTGTTACGATGAATGACACAATATTGAAATGAGAATTTTGGCGATGCAAAGTCAAATCTTGTTTATGATCGGAATATATGCTTCATGTAATCCCTCTGTGTCTGTCTGGATGTTAAAACCGTTTTTCTGCTTTTTAATATTAAGCATTGCTGATATAAGACGCTTTTTGTAACAAGGTTCTCTATCCAGAATGTGAATGTGCTCCAATTAATCGTAAATGTAAGAAAGAAGAAAAGTTTGATATCTTGGTGATAGTTTGCGTTATTAAATTACAGTTGTCACAAATATAATAAATAATAATGTATAATTGTGTGAAATTACTTTATTACTTACATTCACATTATTATGACAAAATCGTAAAAAAGTTGCATTGAAAGTTATAAAGATGACTCTTCCGTTTTTCTTAGTAAAAAAACTTGATGATAGCTCTGATCGAGTAAGCACATCTAACTCCCTCCATATTTGTTGCCAGTTTTATAACCACAGTGCATCTCAAACCATTCTATAGCAGAGGAAACTTCTCTATATTACTATGAGAAACACAAGCACTCATTTTTCGAAATTCATTATTTCTTGAAAAATCGAAAATTCTAGAAGTTAAGCCATTTCTGTATACATTAAAATATCGAATAATCGGAGCGTAGCCAAACATTTTAAAGTGCGTATAGCATAAAAAATATCTGAATCGAGAATTTGGAAGTATTGAGGAAACTAATCGTTCACCAGTCGCAGAATTCAAGTCTTTGTACGAATTTTAATGGTATCCCCATACTAAGCAACTCGTCCGGTGAAGCATCTTTCAAGTCCTCCCAATAATAATTCAACGCTTGCCAGCAGATCTCAGACAATTTGGGAATAGTCAGCCAAGCGGAGTAAACCGCGTTTGTTCTTTTCACCTGTAATGATAAAAATCTTGGAATAATCATGATACAAATAAAAGAAAGTACATTAAATAAAAAACATTTGTAGACTGTCACGCTATTTAGGGTACGATAATAACCTTGTTGTTCATTTTGACTATACCGCCAAATATGTACATGCGACCTTCCGGAGTCAGCGCGGCCGAATGGAAGTACAATGGACATGGTAGAATGCATTCTCGCAAACGTGTCCATCGCAACGTGCTAAGATTAAGTCGCCAAACATCAGAAAACACTCGGTCGCCATTATAACCGCCCGATATGACGACCGAAGTAACACCGCTCTTCTCATCCGTGTATTGTACGGAACCGTGACAACGTCGTGGGGCCGGTACCATAGTTTCTTCAGTTTCGCCATGCGTGTTTAAAATTTTCCAACTATTAGTCTTCAAATCAAACGCTGGTATTTCCTGAAAAAAATTATTTAAAATATAACATAAGGAAATTAAAATTATTGCATATTTTTATATATAATAGAATTAGTCTAATTCCACCATGATTTTTACAGACAACTCAATGTATTAATTAATATAATATGTGTTTACCTTCTTAAGACTTTATAACATATTAATATATATGTCGCAATAGAAACATAAAATTTAGAACTGCATACAAACTTAATAAATGTATATATGTATATTATATATACTTTTATAGACTCACAATATTATACTTTTATTAACATATAACAAATGCCTATTAAACCTATATAAATATATTTATAAGGAATAACATAATTTTCATATTTGATTGATATTTTTGCTAAAATTCTTTACATAAATGCGTACATTAACTAATGTATATGCAGTTATTAAATTTTACATTTTTACTGTGACATATGTACTGTACAAAGGCAGTTGGGCTACTTTATAGTTTTCAGAAAGCGTTACATGTTATTTACTCACCAAGAAACCATAAGATTCTGTTGAAGTACCACCACCCAAAACATAGATCATCTTGCCATCAAAAGCAAGCTCATGTCTGTATCTACCATATGGTTCTGATTCATCCTTGCCTGAGCAAATATATACTACCTCCCAGATGCCTCTTCTCAGATCAAAGCGGTGAATATCGCAAGTATATTCATAACCAGTAGTGCCACCGACTGTATAGAGATAGGAACCTTGGCATACTAGTGCCTATCCATAGAAATAATAATCTTACTATTATACAAGTTATTATACGTAAAAGTTTATTGTATGGTATACACAAGTAATAGAAAGAAATAATAGTAGGTCAAAATAGTGGTAGATCAGTCTAGAAATTTGTGTCATAAAACTATTCCGACATTCATACATGTATTTAATATTTGATAAATGTTTTTTTTTTAATTTTTATCATTTTAATCAATTATTTTTAATTCTGTCAAGATACCAGTTCAATAACAGAGCAGTTCTTTCTTGTTGATCAATGGTTTGCCAATCAATAGTTAAACCATTAAGTAAATAATTCAAGCTCTGTTCTCAAGTCTATCTCATGTATGATATGAGGACTTTTTAATAAAAAAAAAAATCATTTCAATATGATAGAAACAAAAATTACAAATTTTGGGGTACACGACTATATAAACAAATCTTGATACCGTGTCCCTCAAAAGACAGTAATTTAAAAGATAAAAACAAACATGGTTATACCTGTCCATACTGAGGTTCAGGTAGCTCGCCTATGGCTGGTACAGCGTTTATCGTGCCATCGTCCACATTGCAGACGTACAGCTGATTGCTGCAACTTTCACCAAACGGCACGCCAGTACCACCATACACCATCAGAGTATTGCCACACAGTATTACAGCATTCGACGCCAGTTCATTCGGCATATTTTCTTGGCCAGGCAACCTGGTCCAGCGCTTACTAACAAAGTTGAAACGCCACAGTTCCTTGAACAATGGTTTGCTGGCGCTCCATGTCTGATCATCACGCATGTCTGGGTCGGTATCAGATACGCACGGATTGAAACCACCATATGAGTACAGGTTCCGATGATCACAGGCGATCCGGTGGCCGCTTCGGCCCTTTGGCTGTTCTGTCCCGTTCACCTTGGGCTTGGTAAACACAAACGGTTTAAACATGTACATGGTCTTCGTCGTTGTCAGTGCCGTGTACCTAGTCGTAATGCGACGAAAAGCAGATACAAAAGCAATCAGAAACTTGGCGAACTACGAGGCACTCCTCTTTGATGAGGCTCTGCCACACGCTGCGGTCATTTCCTAACCCCAAAAGCGCCGACCTAATCTTCATGCGAAATCGCAACCACTCACCTACCTGTCTATATCTATCTATTTATCCTAAACAAGATTCGTCCGATTTGTTCTTTCGAGAACTCTCGTGTTTGTGGCACGTTATCAATGACTGGGATCACCCTGGTGACTGCCTTGGGGAAGAATTGTCGGTCATCTCGCGCGAAGGAGATTTGCGACACGTTCCCCTCTTTCCACACTGTCGTGCACTAGTTGGAACTAGGTTTTCCGTACAGGAGATCCAAGGAATTCAAGCGAAGTCGCCTTTTCTGTCGTGACCACACAATATTGCTCTTCCTCTTCTTTTCTAATTATGAAGTCTCTGAGTATTGAAATCACTTTCTTCTTTTTCTTCTACTTCGATGATTATCTGGCCCGAAGGTCACAGTACTTAACAAACTTGAAATGTACTGATTGAGTCGTTCACTTTCTTACGAGGACGACCGACATCTTCCGCGTGGGCGCGCTGTTCTTCACTATACCCTCAAAATAGATTTCCGACCTAATATTCAGGATCGCGGTTTCTTGTGGATCTTAGGCAGGACGTGCTTTTTCAGGGCACAATTTTGACAGTTGACTCCAAGAGACTACAAAACGCGCAAGCTTACCCTTGAAATTCAAAGTTGCCGTTATTCACTTCATCTCCTTGTGCGCAACAAGCACACTCAATTATATACCCCTTGTCTTTCAGACGAGCGTGGGAGAGTCAACGAGAGCGTAACCGTGTTTATTTTCGGACATAAAAACAATCCACGTTACCAGAATACCGGATGATAGTACAGTACCGGAGAACGTTCCGTAAAGTCCCGTGACATCCACCGGAACACTTTCGGAATTTTTGATGGAAATGGAAGCAAAAACAATCATATGGGAGTGTCTAGAGTCCCTAGAAAAATTCCAAATATCAATCGCTGTAATTGGTTGTTGTCAATCTAGTAACTTTGTAATCAAAAACAGGATTTTGCTCCGTATAAATGATACGATTTTTCTGATTGGTTAAGCCCATTCTACATTGGTCGTATCGTAGACGTCGCAGGCCACAAATTTGTTGCAACAGCCAATCCGATGTGTCAATTAGAAGTCTCACGCTTACGATGCTACGATACGACCAATGTAGAATGGGCTTTAGAGAGTCGTTGTACGACGCATATCGGATGCAGTGTGAATCCATACACTTTTGCATAACGCATAAACCATATACATAAAGAATTTGATTGGTCCATTGATTCATGCATAAGAAAATGGGCCAATGAAATTCCTTATACACATGCTTTATGCGTTATGCAAAAGTGTGTGCTACGGCCTTTATTTTACTGCATGCAACGTCGTGTGCGGATTTATAGGTTATAATTATTTATTGACATAAACTAATTTCAAGACACAAATAATTTGTCGTGCGTAAAAGTACTATAAGTTTTAATACCTTTCCTTGATAATATTTTTTAAAAATGAAGGAAATTCCTCTTTCGAATTGTGAACAAAATTTTACAAATAAATGTATAGAAGAAGAAACGGTAAGTATTTTTCTTGCAAACGTATTAGACAATAATTCTTACATCTTTTAAAAGTTATAGTTTAATTAGTATATTGTTATTTTAATATTGTGTGTTATTATAATTTATAATTTATTTAAAGATTATTTTACAATTATAGATATATATTTTGAAACAAATGTATTTTGATAAATCTATCATATTTCAGAGATTAGATGGTCGAAAATTATTAGAACCACGTTCAGTAAGAATTTTCTTTGGCTCTAAGTGGGGATGTTGCATGGTATCTCTTGGACACACAAGGTAAATTTTACTTAATAAGATTTGTACAAATTATTTTTATAATTTGTATATAAATATATACAATTGTATATAAATTGTTTTATAAATACATAAAACATCGAAAAAAATCCTTTTGCAGAGCAGTAGCACAGGTATCATGTGATGTACAACAACCGAAAGCATCTCGTCCTAATGAAGGCACGATACGCATAAATGTCGAACTTACTCCTTTAGCAGCACAACATTTTGAAGGTGGCAGACTGTCCGAAGCAGCTATATTGATCAGCAGACAGCTGGAAAAATGTTTTAAAGATTCAAAATGTATAGACTTAGAATCTCTCTGTATAGTAGCTGATAAGAAGGTTATTAGAATGCTTGTTATTGAGTATTATCCAACAAAAGATACAGATACACGATGAATTATTATATCCTTGTTTATCAAGTTAAACTAAGATCAATTGCTGCTACATTGTGTCATTTGTGTTTCTTCTAAAAAGCACCTGCTCAATATTATGATATTTATATTATAATTTGTTATATTATGATTAACAGTTTTCTTATTTAGGTATGGAATTTGAGAATTGATATTAATATCATAAATCATGATGGAAATCTTGTGGATTGTGCTTCTATAGCAACGCTCGCAGCTCTTATGCATTTTCATAGGCCAGATGTCACATCTACTGGCGAAGAAATTATCATACATCCAGCTTCCGAGAAAGATTTTCTGCCATTAACATTGTTCCACTATCCAGTCTGTATATCTTTTATAACTTTTAAAAGGTTAGTTGAGGAAAGAAAAATTGTGTACAAAATAAAAGATTCCTTCTTGAATAATGTAGCATAGATAAAATTTAGCAATTTCTGGATTATACGCGCGAATAATATAAAATCTATTTGAATTTTACAGTGGCAACACTATAATGGATCCTACTTATACAGAAGAAAGAGTTGGTGTCGCTCAACTTACTCTCGGCATGAACTCTTATAGAGAACTTTGTAGCTTGCATTTCGATTATTTAACAAAAACCATGACAGTCAAAGACGTCATATCCGCTGTTTCTAATGATGCAGCTAATTATGCAACAAAATTAGTACAGCAAATCAAGGAAGCAGTAATCAAGGATGTGCAATCAAGGTATGATTTTATGTTGCTCTCTTAAAATAATTTCTTATTTATATTGTATATCAACTTAATTTTGAAATTATATTTATTAATATAAAACGTTATAAATAATCTAATTATTCATGACAAACATTAACTTTTGTTATTCACGTACAATTTAATTTGAAATATTAATCAGAGAAGAAATGCTCTAATTATTTTTTAACAATACGGAAGAAAATTAAGAATATTCTAAAAAATATTTTATTATAGGTACAAAAAAGATGACAGCAACATATCTAGATTTAAAGAAAGCATTCAAGTTAATAAATTAACGACAACAATTGGCAATAACATTAGCATTAAATTACGTAAATGGGACGCAATGGATATAATCGAAGGTATTTCATCCAATTTATTTTTTAATATGTATATGTTAAGATTTTAAATTTGTTTTATATAATTAATTTTATTATATTACAAATTTTAATTTTTTATAATCATATTTAATTAGAAATAGAATTAGCTTTTCATTACATTGAATTAATAATTAAAGATTTATTTTATTTTACTTATGTTATATATATATATATATATATATATGCATGTTCATAATTTTATAGATAATTTCATGGAAATAGAGAATGAGGAAAAAAGTCGTATTATAAAATATGAAGAAGGATCTGCTGAATTAATACCCTTTTCCAACGTGCGTATACAAAAAATATGTATTTAGTATTGTAGTAATTTTTTCGAATTTGCTCAAATTGATAATGAATCGCAATAATTTTTTAATATTCTTACAGGATTCAATTAAGAAAGAATATTTTAATACATATAGCTCTGATTCAGACAATGACATTTTCGTCAAATCACCAAATCCAGAAAAAAAAGATATAGACTTAGTATACTTAACAGATAGCGACTAGATTTTAAAATATATATTTTTGAAAGATTAAATGAGCTCAATCTAAATTTTTATTCTATAATCTCTCTACACATTTCTCTAAAATTACACACCAATTGCCTTCATCATAGTACACCTGTTTAATCGAGACCGATGGTATTTTCGTGCACAATTTCACAAGCTCGCCATCGCGAAATACATGATAATATCTCAGAAAGCGTTCACCACTCTTCTTAGTCCAAGGAACCAGCATGTCGCTCCGAGGGAAGACTGTTCTATTTTTGTGAATCGGTAACGTTATATTACACTCAGAGATTTTCTCATAATTGATTTCACTCTCATTGATGTTCTCAGATTCCTTGCTCTTTTTACCAGACTTCACATACAGCGAATCCTTGGAATTCCTGTGTTGCTCCATTGCCCACACATAAATCAAACATCTTCCCTTTGGTCTCAGTACTCGAACTATCTCGGAGATAGCTCTTAGTCTTCGTTCGTCAGAGGATAAATGATGAATGACTGCAATACTGATTGCTGCGTCCACGGAATCGTCTTTGTACGGTAAATACAGGCAGTTACACTGAATAACCTCGAAGTTTCGTTTGCGACATATATCTATCAATCCGGAGTTATAATCACATCCCATCTACAATAATCCTTGAGATTATAAACGCCTTTGCTTGGAAAGGTATAATGTAAACCAAACTAAATTTCAGCATATACATTCAACTTTTCTTTATATCTAATAATATATTCCTATTAATTAAATACTAAACAATAAAATTGAAATAATATAACAATAAACGACCTCTTTCTTAAGAAATGCAAACATTAATAAAAAGACAGCTAGGACTCGGCGCAATAAATAGAGTGCAATCACATTTATATAATTACTTTTTGCAAAATCGAAATGTACGGTTTGTGAATTTCAATTGTAGTTGAAAAACATATTAAAGTAATTGAAAAATTATGACACTCCGTTTATTGTGTCATAACGACTTTCTTTTCATTAATGTTTCATATTAGTTAAGAGCATATAATTAATAAAATGATAACAAGTACCTTAAATACATTCTGATTTCCATTAAGATATTTGCCATTTCCACAACCCACATCTAAAAGTAATGTACCTTTTTCTAAACTTTTAAGGAATTTTGTTACACAAGGCCATCGTTTACATCGTGTCTCGCTAAAGTGATTAGATATTTCTTCATAAACCTGTAAGAACACAATTTCGGTAATTATAAGAAACAAAACATTCACACGTTCGAACTTACATACTTTATGTACATATGAATTTTCCAATCCCGACGCCATCTTGTCGTCAATGAAAATTTCACGTCTGGCAGTATCACAGTAGTCTTTGAAATCACAATAGCATTCACCACGTCGTACTTTTCTGAAGGTGAAAGATACTCTGATGCCACGTTCCTGTGTCGTGGGTCCATTTTCTGTCTTGATAACATCATCGTAACGAGGAGAGATGCTATGCTTCCATGCATATCTCGCTTCTCCTGTCATAATCAATAAAGATCTGGTTGGCAGAAGAATTTCGATTCTTTTATCTTCCTTTATGAAATTCATAATGCACATGGATCCCAGGGACAAAGATAATATAGTGTCCTCGAAGACGCTATGTGTATCAATGTGTGGTGGTATACCTGAATAAGATCATATATCATATTACGAAATAACTTCTAAATTAACTCGATTGTATTTAATTCTATGTTTAAAAAAATATTAAATTTGTACAATTTATATAAATAATATGATGTCAATAGTAATTAAAGTAAGAAATTAAAATGTTTAATCGAAAAAATCTTTACTTTGTTAAAAAATTTTTAATAAGCACAATTTTAAAATTATATGAATATCTAATTTACCTTGACCAGGTAGATACCTATTAACAGTCAACTGATCATAAGTGTACTTATGACCATGTTTATCAAATAAAGTTTGTAGAAATTTGTATTCCTGGGGAATTGGCACAATGGGTTTGTCAGGATTTACTAGGTTTGTGCCATATTCGAACTCGTATCCAAAATGTTTTACATCTCTGTATTTCAGTTGTGACCAGACAGTTCCTAAAATAGTAGTTGAAACAAGAAAACTCTATTTTAAGCTATCTTCTTAATGACATTTTTTAAATTACTATTGTAAATCTATTTTACCATATTGATCCCAACTAATTGATTGCAAATCTATCACATTTTTACATTTGTCCCAATCAACTGTTTCTAACAACATTTTCTCTTGCTCCTCTGTTATAAAATTCTCTATTAAAGTTAAACCAGGTGGAAATGCAGAATCAGATACAAAATAATCTGTGATAGGAACTAAAAAAAGTTTTACATTATTACATGAATTCTAAATTATAATTGGAATTATGTAGTTCTGTCAAAATAGTATATACCTCTTTCAGTATAACATACATATAACGGGCCATTTTGACCTGGAAGCTTAATGCGTCCATGAATATAATTATATACACATGTTGCATCCTCCTTTGAGTTGCATGTGACAAAGCAGTACGTTTTGCCTGTTGGCATTGTCAGAGTATATTTGGAGATCAGAGGATCTAATACACACTGCAATGTCTCTCTCTTGATACCGGTAACCAGACCACCATTGCATATCATTAGGTGCTATGAAAAATATCAAGCTTAGTAATTAAAACATTCCACGTTCTAGTATAGAATGCGCAAACATTTACCTGGGTAGGATGTTCAGTGCATTTAATGTTCATATCTCGGAACAATCTATGATAAGCACGTTTCTGTTTTCGTACGCTTTTTCTATCGTCCCTCTCTATAATCGTAATATTCGTCTTGTCACTTGCAGACATAATTTTCGATGTTTAAGTGCTTTAAGGAAAAAAAAGAGCTTCATCACACACAATCATACTGCTGTATCAGTTGAAAAAGTCGATTGTTCTATTTATAAATACAAATTATAAATAAATTATTGACTACTCTCTCTTCAGAACTTATTATTAATACTTTCTTCAGTAACTTCTTATTAATTTTTCTATTTGAGAGTTTCTACATTCATATATGTAGAATAATTTAGTAAGTCAAAAGATAAGCTGAAAACGAGTATTTTTTTACATATACCGTTTTTTTACAATTTGTTTAGATAACCTTTTACATAATATAATATATAAAGTATAAAGTAATCTTTCAATACCAGAACCCATACACGATTTTAACATAGAATATAAAACTGAAAGCAAAAGTAAAATCAATGGATGCATCCAGAAACACGACTGCTCATTAAGCTCAATGAGTTCTTGTATACCTGTTTGGTTTATATTTTTAGATCTAATGGAATATGCCAATCAGATAAAAAAGCTCATTGAGCACTTAGTAAGCGGTCGTGCTTCTGGATGCACCTAATAATGGTAGATTGCAATTTATTTTTCCACGATAGAAAACTTCGTGCGCATGTGTGAGATGGTGAAAGCTCAATTTGGCGAAGTAACAAAGCAATACCTATTACGTAGAATTCACATAATATGAGAATTTGATGAAGACAAAAATATCGCTAACTAGAATCGAATTCTGTTATTGAATATTGTATTATCGAATGTCATATGCTGTACATCGAAATCAGAAAGAAATTTGAGAATGGACATTTCAGTCTCTTTTCATGTATCAAGTCTCATAGTCAATAAAAAGTCAAAATAATTTTATTTTTATTCTTAACGTTAATATACAGTCAAAGTTTGTAACTAAAAATAATCATTTTGACTTAGTTTCATGATGTCAAAACAAAGTAGCTTCCTCTTGACTTGGTATGTTATAAGAATAAGGATTTTCCAAGAATGTGGATAAAATTTTTGGAAAAAATAAAACTCAAGCAAATGTACATTGTTAAATATACTAAAGGAACAATTAATACTCCAATACCTTAAAATAACATTTTATTTTATATTTTATCCTTTAAATAAAATTTCCTTTTAATTCATGAACTGCTGAAATATTAAAGCTAATGTTTCTACATGTTTCCAAATTTACATCTAAATGTTTAGGAAAATTAATCTTTTATTTGCTTGATATATCGGACTGAGCAATTTTTCATGTGATTAAAATCATATCTTTTACAGAATAATCTGTCAACTGTCTCAATTCGTGCTCTTCTTGATTGTATGCTTTGCATTTATACAAATGCGAAATCATCATAGATTCTTGCCGTTTCTCTATACATTTTTCTAGAATGGACAATTTTACGCTTAACATACCAAAGTTTGCATTGAGCAAAATTGTTGCAATAAGTAATGATGTTGATAGTGCTTTTAGGGCTTTTACGGGAATTATTTTCGAAGATACTAGAAGGTTTGTTGTGTTTTTATCCATTGATAATGTCAACACTTTATGAATCCTGCCGGTCACTTTATCGCAAAGAATTCAAACACACACAGTCACAGAGAGTTGTGCAAAAGAAACCCCTCTATCCTATTATATATAAAAGGAACAAAAGAAACATCTTTAAACCTCCAAGGAAGATCGAGCAAATTTTAGGAAATCACAAAGATCAAAGATCTCCACTTAGTTCTGTAGGAAATATACAAAAAATACCTTGCTTTTACGGTCACGTAGAAGAATGGTCACGTGTACATGAAAGAACATCAACAAGATGTCAAGGCTCCCTTCGTTTTTTGAGAAACAGCATTTCGACTCTCATTTACGTTATTTTCTATTAAGTATGTATGTACATACATACACACATACAAACACACACCTTGCCCACACGTACAGTAACGGCCAATCAGATTTAGGCACACTTTACTCGTCAAAACTAGAGTCCCTATAGGGACTCTAGTCAAAACCTTCCCCTCCGCATCTTTATGCTCTGTCTCTATATTTCTATGCTATGCTCGCCACCACTCGCCGCTAGGTTGCGCTAGATACGCAACGCTTTCTAAAAGAACGTTCGTAAACTTCACAAATCGTAGCCTCAATCCTTCTCCGCATTTCAAAGATAATACGATAACCTAGCGTAACTTTAACTAGCCTAACCTAACTACAATCGCGTCGCAAGAAAAAATCGGATAAGTTTGTGAACAGTCGACCGTTACAGTCCTTCGTTCGCTGTCGTTTGCTCCTAGCACAAGAAGTTGGAATATCTAGACTGTGGAAACTGACAAAAACTCGGCGCCATATTGCAATCTTGTGTTTGGTTAGCGTTTTCTGGCGCGTGGTGAAGAAGTTTGTTGTAATTTAATTGATAACGATGTCCGACAATCAGGTAAGCATCCCCGGTACGCGCGATTGGCGTCCTCGCGATCTCGCCGTGACGCTTTCGCGGCTGTGGCCGCGACCGCCGGCAATTAGTTCGCCGGGATATTCCGAATCGAACTCCGCCGTGAGTTTGAATGAACTAGTGTTCTAACCTTGTCGTGTGCTACTAGGAACAAAAACCCGAAGCCGGCCCAGGCGACGCAAATTCAGAGTACATCAAACTCAAAGTCGTTGGAAATGTAAGCGATACATGCTAAAATACCAATTTTTGCGCGCGCGCAAAACACATTAGATCCATTTTTTCTTCCAGGACAGCAACGAGATTCACTTTAGGGTAAAGATGACCACTCAAATGGGCAAGCTAAAGAAGTCCTACAGTGATCGTGTGGTGAGACCCCTCGTTTATTATTTTTTGATTGCATATCTTGTTCACCATGTGGAGTCTTATTAAAGTAATATGATAAGAATATAGATTAATGAAGAAATAGGTATCTAGAAATTTTGTTTCAGTTTACTGACGCACTTCCGGTAACTTTATAGTTGTAACATCAGAATTTTTAAGATTAATACTTCTTATTTGATGATAATATTCTTGCAATTCTTAAATATTATTAGGAAAATAATTGATTATTCTAACTTGTAATATAATTTGCAAAATTTCTTGTATTAGATTAACATATTTTGATGTTCATTCAAATACAATCAGTAGGCAATGTCTTGCCAAGAGACCTTCTAATCTGGGAGTTAAATCTATGGGTGTCTTCCAAAAAATATTTCAGTATGTACAACACAGCGATTATCTTGTCTTTTTTTTAACATTGGTGAGCAACAAGGATGTAATGATTTGCTATATCAGACCATGTTACGTATGTCTCTTGTTGGAAGGCATCTTTTTCTTTAAATAAAATTAAAATTATAAAAAATGACCAAATTTATTAGATGTTGACCAATGAAATTATTCTTCTAGTAAATTTGCTCATTTTTGTAGTTTTTACTTTGTTTCAAGATATATAATCGATTCCTTGATCTGTATTCACATTCTGTCCTTAATCTGGATCTAGAATGAGTCGATAGTCTTAGGGTGCAAACCCATGCAGCGGAATAGCGTAACGCGGAACGAGAGCAGAACCAATAACGAGCATTCTGTGTTTCTAGAGAATCTCGTGATTGGTTCTGCTCTCGTTCCGCGTTATGCTATTCTGCTGCATGGGTTTGCACCCTTAGAAGTTGGTTGCTGGCCAACTCTACGAATTCACTTATTTTAACCAATCCTGATTCACTGACTCTCCTTCAAACTCACTTCAGAATTACATATTACAGACTATCATTGTAGATTTGGTCATTATGGATATGTTTCTTATTCCTGTACTAAACAACACTGATCACTCTTTCTCATTTTTGCCAAGTATTGAACATGTATTTATGTCACTTTAAGTTTCAAAAATGTTCACCAATTTAACTACAGAAAACGGATTTATTGTATAACATTTAGTGTAACAATAAGGATAAAATAATATGCTTTGAATTCTTGAAAGCACTCCAGAAAGAAAGTACCCTTTGCCGTCCGATATTTTTCATCAAATTCGCTTCAGTCAAAAATTGAGATATTATATATTTTTGAATATATCTTTCTTTATGTTGCATAACTGTAGAACGAGATAAAACATATCTTTTCTTACTCGCACAATTTTAAAGAAAAATATTGAATCTCTTATGGCCAGACTCTGATTAAATTCTCTAGGCTTACACAATAGTGTAAGCGCCTATAAGAGAATCATTTTCTATCTTCTTTTTTAGGCGCTTACAACAATTTACACGAGTCATATCGCTTATTTATATGCAAGCCAGCGAATTACGAGCACTTGAGATTCGTTTTTTCTTTTTATTGAACTTTTTGCACTGTGAAGAGAAAAAAGATAAAAGATGAACTAAGTAAGAAACTCAAGTTGAAAAAACAGATCTAAACCGATCGGATTTTAATAATGGCTGAACTGATCATTCTGAATTGGCTTAAATTAATTATTACTCACACGATAATAATTCTAATTTTGTTTAGGGTGTACCTATGACGTCACTTAGGTTTCTCTTTGATGGTAAAAGAATCAACGATGACGAAACACCAAAGCAGGTAAATCAGTTTTATAGTTTGCATTTGGAATTGATTGACACAGATAAGTGAGAACTTACTTACCAGAAAGATCTTATTTTCCAATTAATATCAAAATGTTTGTTGTACATTTTTGTTAAATATTTATGATATTTTAAAAGATGAATTTAAAATTAATCTAAGAAATATATGTTAATTATGTGAAATGTAAATTTGGAAAATAACTTTTTTCTTTTTATTATATGATGTCTTATATTTATATGATAGGCAAAATAATAAGTAATCTTAATTTGCCCTCAAAGATCAAAGTGGCGAAAACTTATTGATTCACCTACATATATAAATAATTATATGTATAAATAATCAATATTTTAGTGTCACATATTTATTCATATTTTAAACTAATTAATTATTTTTAAACTATTATAGTATTAAAAGTATTATTAATAAGAGACCATTAATTTTAGCTGGAAATGGAAAATGATGATGTCATTGAAGTTTATCAAGAACAAACAGGTGGTCGTTAACTAAGGAGAGACGGAGGATCATTTCGTTCTAATATTTTATAAAGTGGAAGTGACTCTTATAAGAAAAAAATGGACAAGTTTATAAGTATGCTTATGTACACACTTACACACTTATACATACATACACACAATACACATATACGGATGTTTAAATAAGATGTAATTTCCTGATTTCACATACGATATTGTAAAATGTGTTGTCTTACATTCCTGTACCGAGGCGAATAATCTGGAGCGATTAGATTACAAATCCTCGGATCATTTTGTAAAACACATGTGCGGACAGTCACATGTCAACATTGCATGTTGTATGGTGTCTGTTTTCGTATGTCATCAGGACAATTTTCAGAAATAGAATAATTGAATTGTGCGCCAATATAAATGCGTTTGACATTTGTAAACTCCTTGTCTTTAAAATTACTCCTGAAAATCTCGTGTTTTTCTTTATGCTAATTTCTTACTTAAATCTCTTTCTCTACGCCTTTTTATGTTTGAATACAGGAAATAATGTGTATTACATACAAAGTCTAATACAAGAAATAATTTGAAAGGTATGACGAAATTGTTAGGCGTGTTTAAGTACAATTATAGTAATTATAGAACTTTTCTTTTCGAGTAATTGGAATATGTGAATTGTAATGAAAAATTGATATCGTGCTTAATGTTTGGGAGCATTTAGAATTGGCATAATTCATTTTATTCTCTTAGAAAGTTGTGCAACATTTTCAATTTTTACTAATCATAAAACGTGCACTTCATATAATAGTAATAAATACAAATGCTCCCCAGAGAAATTTATTCTTAACCATTTTCAGATAATTTTTGCTCCCAACCGTAATCTTTCTTTGCAATAAAATACCAAATTTATATGTATAAATAAACGTATGATATAAAAACCATGTATCTCAAATTTATAAAATAAATGGCAAAGAAAAAAATTGTGTGGCATAATTTAAAAAAAGGAACAAAAACAATCTAAGATCACTGCATATATTAATTTCTTCTGTATTATAATGGTCCAGGAGAGTATGAAATTCGAATTAGATTTTACGTTCCCTTTTTTTGTACGAATAATGATATTCCAAAACATAATTTTTTAGAAATATGTATACACATATATTATATAGTATATTATATGTGATTATATGCTAAATATGATTTCAAGATACGATCTCCATTCAAGAAATAAATAATTTTTAATAATTGACGAAGACATAGAATTTAATAAATAACGAGACAGTATCAAATCTTGGATAGAATCGGTTTTATTTATACACATTGATCATATCCGACAGTTATAATAATTCATTAGCTTTCAGGTCTTTCTTTCAAATCGTACATGTTTTATCATAAACTCTTAATTATAAGCACAACTCTAAAAATAATATATAGTTATGTACAAATTATTTTATTTCGAGCATTGACTAATAATGCAATATGTGGCGAGCTATGTTATTATTACATTTGTACAATACGAAAGTACAGGAGGAAAAATTTTTTTCTAGAAGAAATTTTATTTTGCGAACATGATTAGGTATGCGGTAAAAAATTCAGAGCTGCATCGTAAAGTCTAGATGTACATACAGAATAGCCCACAATTTGCGATCTCGATTTTAACGATAGACTTTTTTTAATTTCTAATTGGTGTTTCTTTAATTTATAATATTTTTTTGTAAAATCTTAAAATTAAATTAATATGATAGTATTAAAATTAATTTATTAAAATTCTATGAAAATAATAAACGAGTTCGCATATGATATTGATATTAATTGAAAAAATATTAATATTTAATGTGAATTTATTATATTTTAATTTTTTCGAATATTTAATTCATAAAAAAATTTAGAGATACTTTTTTATTAAAATTAACTCTTGGAGGTTCTATCGTTAAAATTAAAGGCACATTATGGAATATGTATACAGGGAGGGGCATTTAAAACAGGTCACCTGAATAACTCGCTTGTTTTTGACAATAGAAGAAAAAGTGTCAAACAAAAGTTGCTTGGTCGAGGGGCACATAATGTGATGTCAATAATTGTTTTTTTGATGGAGGCGGCGCTAAAAAGATATAAAGGTCACCTCCATTTTTTTAAATGGAGTTATTTAATTTTTTTTAGATAACGTGATTCCTCTAATTATTTTGCATATAAAAGTATTAAGGTAGAGATACCAAAAACCCAATAGTTTTCGAGATATTTTACACTTTATTTTGATACATATTGACACAAAATGTTAAATAACTCGTAAACTGTTGACTTTTTGATTATCGTACCTTAATACTTTTGTGAACAGAATAATGAGATAAATCAAATGGTGTAAAGAAAACACATAGTTGTGTATTTAAAAAATTATCCATTTTGTATACATATTTTTTTTAAAGCAACTATGTGTTTTCTTTACACCCATTTCTTTTAAATGCCCCTCCCTATATATACTATATTCTCCAAAAATATCCGATATATAAGTTGCTCTTTTACAACAAGCCATGTACCGCAAATCAATATATATTTAACCATATTATGCATTGATATAATAAAGTAAGAGAAATTATTCATGATACAAATGTTCAAATTGAAAATTAAATATATATATTTAATTTCCGATGCAATAGATTATAAATTATATAAGTAAATATTTTTACGTTTTAACTATGAATTTGATATGTTCTATAATAATAATAAATTTAACTATTAATAAATTTATATTTTCAGTAAAATTTATATTAATTAAAAACAAATTTAATAATTAATTTCATTAAACTTTTGTCAAAGTTTGAGAGCACAAGATATAAATGTCTCTGCCTATAAACAGAAAATTATGTGATGTAATTACATATTTATATAAGATTAATATAATCTGAGAATAAGACATATAATAATAAATATAGAAATTATATATTTTACATGTCTATGGCATCGGATAATTTTTAGACTCATAATATTCTATGTAATTTTATAATTCAAGAAAAAATTTTTCTAATTTTATAATAGTTTAATCGCGTCATATTCCGATCCATGGTGTAAGAATATATGTATATGAAATATCCTATGATATATAACATATCATATTTATACATATATATCATATGATTCTATATTATATTGACATTTACATCGTGTTCCGATCAATATTTAATGCTTTCGATGTGTGCACCTTCTGTTTTCAATTGAAGGTAACTTCGCCATACGAAAAAAATTAAAAATTTATTTATTTTATAAATATCTATAAAGCATCTGGCGAAACAGAAAAAAATTAATAAATTATTTCTCTTTTCAAAATGAATAATTTTTTTTCGCTCGAAGCAACACATATCTTTTCTCATCTCTTTCTGATTATTATCACTTACATATCATCTTCTAAAGGATACAAATACTACATACTAAATAAGTACTTCTTTTTCGTTATTATAACATAATTTATATGCTTACATGCATATATATGTATATATGTATATGTATATATACAGAATCTCTAGTTTTAATTTTTCTCTACAATATAATCTCCGAGATTGCTGGTTATCACAAAAATATCTAGGATCAAAATTACTCCATTTTTTTTATACAGCTGTATAATTTAAAAGAAAAATGTATAACTTCGATTTGAATTTTTTTCTTTTCAGTAACCATTAATTTTGGAAACAATTATACAGAAAAATTAAAATGTGGAAACAGCTCTGTATACGTACTTAAATAAAATGTACAAGTTTTCAATCTGAGAGCATACACAATTTCTACAGATCTAGTACGTATTATTCAAGTTATTATACGCAGCTATATGAACAAAATCTATCCTTTAGACGTTCTTTTTCTTAATACTTTCATTTATCATTTATGTCTACTACTTTTACTCGCGATTACATAATAAATATATAATATCTGTTGAAGAACGATCTATCTCCCTTAGTCTCTAAAGCGTGGGCATTATTGCGAAAGGGCGAGGCATTTTGTGTGAGAATAATTTGTAGGAGTCGCGGGAATGAGATAGAGAGAGGAAGAAAGGAAAGAAAGGAGAGTCTTCTTCAATTCTGAGATTAGATGCGACGAGCGACATGTGATAACATCGTGATGGGTCACAGAGCATCGCGATGCCATACCCATGTTTTTTTCGTATGGTCGAATCTGTGTGCTAGCCATTGTTGTTCCAAAAGCTGATATCTGTCCTGGCTAAGATATAAGGGCTTGCCACGTCTACAAGATTATTTGTAATATAGCAAATAAAATATTAAATAATAGTATTAAAAATTACATCATTTCTTTAAAAAATTAACTTGTAATTTATCACAAAAGCAATTTAAATACTTATAAATAAAATATACTTTTAGTTTTAACATGTTAAAAAAATTAGAATAACAAATATTTAATGTTTAGTAACACGTATTATTATTCATATACATTTTTATTCTATATTGTGTAATAAATCATACTTACTTTAGATCTCTATCTTCTTCTTCAAAGTCATCAAGATACAAAGATCCCCATAAACACGCTCGCCGACCGCGTATCACGATAATATAAGTTGAAGTCACTACGAGGTAGATGCCAGTCCCACCGCCACAGTCGATTGAATGCTAAGTATATAAAAATATGAAAAAATGTTTACAAGTCTGATATTTATAATATTGGATGATTTTAATATTTTATCGTGCCTATGTAAATTTTATGCTCACCTGAATAGCTTCAAACACATTCATTTGTCTACAACAATTCTGTTTGAGGCAGACGATAGTACCGCACAATAAACAGATGCTGATCTCTTGCGGTACAGAATGACACATGCTGCACTGTCGCTCGTGATAATACTGAAAAGAATTAATACATATATACTTACATGGACGATAAAAGCTAGTATATGAGTATTATAAAATAATACATAATGTATATAACAGTATATGACAGTATATAACAGGTACATATATATAAAGAAAACATTCTAATTTATAGAATGTTTGAATTAAAATACAAATATGTTTATACTTCTTTATCATCTATTATTACAATCATTTTCTCTTTATACATATTTCTTCTTTTCATTTTTTTAATTAGTTGAATTAATGAGTTTATGATATTTTTAAACGCACGAACTTATATATATATATATATATATA